GTAGTACTAGTAGCTGTAACCAGATGAGGCCTTCATTGTGCTGTAGAATAGTTTGTGGGACCAAGAATTACCTGTTGGTATTCATTCCATTTAGTTTGTTCTGAGGTAAAATTGTTTGTCCCGTCCCCTTAGGTGTGTATACATTGCTATCTTAAACAGGTATCTCTTTGTTATGTGCATCCAGCTGTTAACACAAAGTTCTTTCGACTGCCTGTCAGGATGTCTGACGGATGAAGATCGAGCTGTTTACTGATGTGGTTCCAAAGACAGTGGAGAATTTCCAGTAAGGAGAAAAACACAGATCATGCTAAACAGGTATATATAAAAGACAAATTAGACTATTTCTGAGTTGTCACTTACTGGCAGTGTTGCACTGGAGAGAAGGAAATGAAGGAAGGAAAACACTCCTTAACCACCCTGCACAATAAACCGACCACACAATACATTCTTAACATACTTAACATACACTTAAGAAATCTGGATTAGCACAAAGGGTTTCTGCCGTAGAGACCTTTTATTTGGGAATATATATGCTTAATCAGGTCTCTGAAGGTTATTTACATGTGTGCATGACAAAGAGCTAGACCAGGGAAAGTATCACTGTGGCAGGAGTACAGCAGGTGAATACTGCTCTGTGTGAATACTGCTCAGTAGATGTGATGTGCTCAATCATTGGTTACTTATTATAAGATAGATAGATACTTTATTTATCCCGGGGGAAATTCAAGTATCCAATAGCATACAAAATACAAAACATACATTACACATACATTAAACTAAAATTAAAAACCCTAACATTAAGAATAGAATTAAAAATAAAATAAAAGACAAAATAGAATATAAAGTATTACATATGTATATATAATATATAAAAAATGAACAGTAGCATATAAAATTAACTGCAGCTTTTACAGTAAACAGTGCAAATACACAAGACTGTGGATTTAATTTCAGCTGGGGCTCAGCATACATCACTCAAAGCTGCAAGTTAGAATCAAAATCATGTATGGTAACTTGATCTAACTCACCGACTTCTCTTCTACAATTTCAGAAGCTATTTCCACACTAACTTTCTTGGTTTCAGTGAGGCTCTTTGGTTTGGTTGTTGTTTGGTTGTCCTGTCGTTTTGGCTGATGGCCAGGGGGACGAAAGAGTTTTTGAGTCTGTTGGTGGAGCTGGATTGGGACAGCAGTCTGCCCCCGAACACACTCCTGTGCCTGGTGAAGGTGTTGTGCAGAGGGTGGTGGGTGTTGTCCAGGGTCCCTCTCTCTGCCACTGTCACCAGAGAGTCCAGCTCAGTGTCCACCACTGACCCAGCTCTCCTCACCAGTCTGTCCAGTCGACCTGCGTCTCTCTTCTTGCTGCTTCCCCCCCAGCAAACCCCAGCATAAAAGAGCACTCTGGCCAGCACAGACTGGTAAAACATCTGCAGTAGTATAATTTAAAGGTTACTATTATAAACTGGCTGATTGACTCTCCAGTTAACAGTCTGGGGCTTATGGACAGCTAAAGGTATTGTACTGAGGTGCAACACCATAAATACTCAGTCACAAAGCTACATGGCAATAATTGTACATCTACATTACTTTTACTATCGCGCTTTCTTGCGACGGCAGTATTTTGTCCCCAACTGCCAGCCGTAAGATGTCTCTCCTGAGCCACCGTAGGTCCTAACGGCGCATATGCTGGACATTCAAATTATCCTCGTGTAAACGTCAAACAGCACATTGAGTCTGCGTTGAAGAGCAAAGGAAAGTGTCACAATGTCTGTTCCACCATCAAATCCCAACAACCCCATCGTGTTCTTCGACATCACCATCGGAGGGCAGGTGAGCAACTGTTAGCTTCAGGAAGCTAACGACAGCTAACGACAGGTTATCGGTAACACATCTTATTACCTCACTGTGGTGCTTTGGTTTTAAAGTTGTGATCTGGTGAACTACTTATGGGCTATTGAAACGGATGACTTTTAACACACACGTCTGTGTGACACACAACAGATAAGTTGTATTCAGGTTGGTTATTAGCAGTGTGTGTGCGCTGTGTGCGTCTTGTAGTGTCATTACGGTAACGATATGGCTGCTGTGGTTCTGAGTCAAAAACGCTCATCGTGATTTATCTCTATGAAGCCGGTTTATTGGCCTGCATAGTATGCTTATATAAGGTTAACTCGGGTTGTGGGTTCATCAAGGCAAGGACAGAGTTTACTTTGTTTAGACACTGTATAAAGTAAAACTGTGACTGAAATGACTCTAGGATATGGCGAGGTATACTTGAGATTTATCAAGATATCGTTCAATCTATTTTGCTTTATTGGCATGAATGTCAATGAAACAAAATATATACATTTCATACATTTTAAACAAGAAAACATTAGCACAAACTTGCTGTGTGTGCGTTTGTGTTTGCATTACGTTGTTGTCTTCATATGTGCTTTTGTATGCGTGTGTATGTAAGCAATAGTCATTAAACAAACACATAATAATAAGAAGAATCATTAAACAAACACATAATAAGAATAATAATCATTTAACAAACAAATAGACTTAGACTTCACTTTATTGATCCCTTTGGGATGACTCCCTCAAGGAAATTGAATTTCCAGCAGCTTACAAAACACTTAGAATAGAAAATAAAAGAGGTATAAAAAAATACAGTATAAGATAAACTCTTAGCTAAATATAGAAAGTAAACAATAAACAGTAAAAAAATAAACTCTTAGCTAAATATAGAAAGTAGAGATAAGAATAAAAGTAAAATAAAATTCAAGTAAAATAAAATCAAATAAGATAGATGTAGAGAACTGTATAGAGGATAAATATAGTTAAATATATAGGACAGTATATGGCATTGTGTTATTATACAGTGGATAAATGACATTAGCAGAAAGTAGCAGTTAAATTAAATTATTGCACTTAAGTGGTGGATTAAGTTATTGCACAAAAAAGAAGAAGAGTGTCCAGGTATGTATGAGTAGATTATTATTGCACAGTGAGTGGCTACCACTCCTTCCCTTCTGTCCTCTTTACCCTATTTCCTCCTCCCCCGGAGTGAGGAGCTGTAGAGTATGATGGCATGAGGGACAAAGGAGTTCTTGAGTCTGTTGGTCCTACACTTGGGAAGGAGCAGCCTTTCACTGAACAGGCTGCTCTGGCATTGTCAATAATGTCCAGCAGTTTGTCCAGTGTCCTCCTCTCTGCCACCGTCACCAGTGAGTCCAGCTTCATGCCAACCACAGAGCCGGCCCGCCTGATCAGTTTATCCAGTCTGGAGGTGTCCTTCTTGGATATGCTGCCCCCCAAGCACACCACAGTGTAGAAGAGGACACTGGCAACCACAGACTGGTAAAACATCCACAGCAGTTTGCTGCAGATGTTGAAAGACCACAATCTCCTAAGGAAGTACAACCTGCTTTGTGTCTTCCCGTACAGGTGGCTGGTGTGTGTTGTCCAGTTCAGTTCATTATCCAGCTACAGCCCGAGGTATTTGTATGATTCCACAGCCTCCACCTCAGCTCCCTCTTGCAGGACTGGTCGCGGTCTTGGTCTGGACCTCCCAAAGTCAATGACCAGCTCCTTCGTCTTAGAGGTGTTGAGCTGTAGGCAGTTAGTGTGACACCAGAGAGCAAAGTCCCCCACCAGACTCCGATACTCCTCCTCTCTGTCACCCCTGATACACCCAACGATGGCTGTGTCATCGGCGTACTTCTGTATGTGACACAGCTCCGAGTTGTAACAAAAGTCCGAGGTGTACAGGGTGAAGAGAAGAGGGGCCAGCACTGTGCCTCGGGGGGCTCCAGTGCTGCTGACCACAGTGGTCAATAATATAATTATAACTATGTCTCAAACTGTCTTCACAATCTGATTTGAATGATTTCTTCTCTAGTATTTTTGATCTTACCTTTTTTTTAAATCTGAAACTAAATGTTATTAATATAAGTTAGTGACAATAGTTGCTGAAGTTACGGGTTTCCTGCATGTTTCAGTGCAAGTAACAAACATAATAATCTAGCCCATCTAGAGCACAGTGTATGCTCTTCCTGTTGACCAAAAGAAAAATGTTATTTAGCTTATCAGATTTGTTCCAGTACTTTTTATGACTGTAGTCTGTTATTGGTAGAATAATTATCCTTGGACATGGCAGTATATGTAAATGCTGGTCTGTAAAAGCAGAAATATTTTCATATTAACTTCCTCCATTGACTACTCTACCTTACCTTATTCACTTGTTTAGTGGTCGTCTTCCTCTGGTATGTTGTAGCACTCACAGTGAAAAAGGAGAAACTTGTTGAGATATAATAACCAGACCTTTGTAGTGGAAACGTATAATCTGAGCATGTCAGCATAAATGGTCATTTTTCATTTTGGTTAAATGTAATAATCCAGCATCCACCGGTAGCTTGTGTTAATTAGGATACATTCAGTGAACATTTTGAACATGAATAAGTGAATGTTTGCAGCATTGATACATTTTGTGTCCATGCATACAGACTGTGTGAGGATTAGGGGGATTTCTTGGTTCTGGTATGGTGGATTAAGTTACTATTGAAAGCTATTTTTTAGCTAATCTTCTTCATTAGGACAGTGCTGGCAACATGAGCAAACAACCCCAAAACTGTCATCAGATTTTAATTTAGATATTGCTAAAAACTGAAGTATGGGATGTCACCTTCTTCCATCTGAGCCCCGCCCACTTTAATCCGGTGAGAATATTACAGAGAACAAAGCACAAACAGAAACCTGTGTATTTGTTGAGGATCACATTGTTTGTAGTAAGAAGCTGAGCTACATTTGCAGTGCCTTTAATTCAGGCTAACAGCAGGCAGCCACTAAATACAAGTTATTAAATAAACTAATTGAGAAATCTCATTACAAGGTTAATGTAGCTGCTCTGGAGCTTTCAATCATACCACTTGGTCTTCATCAGCAGATGGAGTTTGCCTCGTTTGTCATAGAATTGTAGATGAACATTTTTAACGCTTTGAGGATTTCTGGTCCGTGTTGGATTAAAAACTGAGGCTCACAGTTTATTCTTGATTAGGGCTGCACAATATGGTAACAACGTTGCATGTTTGACAGATAATGGGATATGATTCACGATTATTGTGGGAATGACAATTTTTGTATTACAAATTATACATTTATTAATATAATATTAAAAATATCAAAATCATGATGTGACATCAAAAAGATTTGTAGACTTAATTGTGTAGCCTATTCTTGATCAGTAGCAGTTAAGAACAAGATCTCATTACAAAGACCATCAAATAGCTGTTCAGGTGATTTCAAACATATTGCACCACATTAAGTTTATGTAGTACATGGTTTAAATACATGGCTTTGGTGAAGGAAAACTGAAGAGGACAGCATGTTATTTATTGAGAAGCATTTTAAAACCCATACCACAGTCATCATAGCATTTTCCCCGAGTCTATAATTATCTTTGACAATTGCTGCATGACAAACATAAACATGTAGGAAATAGAAAATGATGATTTCTGAAAATAACTTAAATCACCACAGCTTTGAGCAACACCTTTTCTCCACAGCTCTTCAAAGAATTATATTTGGAAGTCCAATCACAGTCTCTTGTAACATTTAGCAGTTAAATTCATTGCTCAAAAGCACGTCTGCATGTGCTGATGGTGGGAGATGCATTTCTGTGTCCAGGACCATTTAAAGATGCTCACTCATTTCCATAAAGTCTTTTGCATTTTTCTTGCACTTTTGCATGTTACACATGGAAGAGAGCGTTGTCTTTTGATGGGTTAAACACAGCTATAGGGAGTTGTTGTTGTGTTCCTTTGCTCAAATGCCAGTAAATGTGCCATAAGCACACATTTTTGGGTATATTTCTGTGTGGCCCTAGTGTGTTGGCCTTTGCCCAGAACACCACACCCATTATTAAACTGTTGGCACACTCCAACCACAGAAGGTTGACAGTGATGTAGGCAGGTACTCCAAAGCCAAAGACCAGACAGATCACAGACACAGCTAGATAAGGCATCCAAAACATACCGAAGCCCAGCATTAGGCTGAGCCACAGAGGAGGTCGCGGGCTGATGGTCTCCTCCTGATAATACCCCTCACTGATTTTTGTCTCTGTGCACTGGGTTGAGATGAACAAGTCGCTCCTCTGGTTCTCCTGTTCTTCCCTCATTTCAGCTAACATGTCAGCCTCTCTCAGCCACTGGGGAATACTTGACCAAAAGGGCATCATTACACAAAGTACTACCGTGAAAAGAACCAAAATAAAGTAGGTAATCAGTGTAGACTCCTCTACTTTACACATAAGAGCCATTGTCTCCCTCGTTATATCCACTAAAATCGGCTCGTCTTTGACAGATTCAAAGGAGTAAATGACAGCTAGCACCCACCCCAGCAAAATCAAGACTGCGTTCCTTAGGTATTTGCAGATGGCGCTTTGGTTGCAGAGGTAGGTATCTTCCAAACAGTAGTCCAGTAAACCCAGGAACATCATGGGTAGCGGCAGTGCTCCATATGTCGCTGAGGCATGAGCCAAGAGGAAGCAGGCTGACACAGGAGACATTTCAGGCCCGAGACACCACACACTTGCAAAAAAAACCGCCAACACCGCGTCAGCTATGATGACGGACAGGCTGCACATGCTTAAAAAGGAGGTAGACAGCTTCCAACAACATAAGTAAAAAACCGCTATGTCCAGTCCCAACTTGAAGAGGATAAGTAACAGATATTTCTCAGAGTTGTCTGTATGACACTCAGACCCCACCTCCCATTGCTCTATAATGGCCAGCATCTTGACAGTATGGCTGATTCCTGGAGACCCTGGCGACTCAGGAAGCATGCCCGTTGTTGCAACAGTTCTCAGCTCAGTATCAAGGTGCACCAGGGAATGCTGTGAAAGACGGGATAATATTGGTTAGGAACGTTGTCTATGCAAAAAAAAAATAGACTGCAATTAATTATGAGAAGAAACAAGAGAAAGCATGAGTCAACAACCTTTTACATGGTCACGCATTACTAGTGAGAGATGGTTAAGTAGGTATCAGGTTTTGTCCTTTGAAGATCTTGGTGTTATTATTATTTCTTGGTGTTATATATAAACATTACAACATGATATAAAATGTAACTATTGTGTTAATTAATAAAACCTGATGAAATTGAAGTATAGGCCAAATTTGTGCAGGTTGAACAGTAAGAGCTCACATTTGGAGCGGGTGACATTATTTTGTCAGCGTATTTGGTGTAATCATAAAGTCTTAGTCCCGTTGCTTATCACACCCCACCTGTGCAGTTAAACACGGTGTATGACTAGTGCAGAACAGTTGGCATTTATTTAATGATTTAAATGTCATTATTATTTAATTTTTAAAGCATATCTAAAACAGCGATCACTTTGGTCCTCAAATATATTTTATTAAAAGGCTTAATTTCACTACTCAGTCAATTGTGACTTCCCCTTCCTCTTGCAGTGGTATTCATTCCAGCAACACACACACCAACCTGAATTTCCAGTGTTACATGTTTTGAAACATGATTACATGTTTAGTCGGTTTCTGCCACTTTTGCAGCATTTCAGAATCAGAATCAGAAATAATTTAATAATCCCAGGGGGAAATTATTTAAATGTACACTACTCACAAAAAGTTAGGGATATTCGGCTTTCGGATGAAATTTCAGAATGTACATAAAATGCACTATAACCTTTCCAGATGATCTTAATTTGACCTTCTACTTAAGTGCCCTACTTTCATGATATAATATCACTGTAGCATCAACTTTTTACATTTTCCATAAATTTCACCCAAAAGTGGAATATCCCTTACTTTTTGTGAGTAGTGTATTTTATTTACTCACTAAGTAAAGAAAATGAATAAAACAAAGTGCGACCCTAAGAAGTCTGTACCTCTCTGTCCAGAGTTGTCCTAGTCCTGTGAGTTTTGGTGGAGAATATCCAGATGCTTGCAGTAATGTAAGTTAGAGACCCTGCATACTTTCAAGACTTGCCAGTGACTGTCCTCAGATGGAATAGTTCCCTTTTAGGCAGGACTTTATGCTCCACCTTCTCATTAAAAATGCAAACAACTGATGGGACACACCTTCTGTGTCTTCAAGGAAGCCTTTTTTCCCCTCTCATATTTGTCTGGGAGCTCATAGCTTCTTGAGATTTGCATGTCCTATAACCGCTAATCAGGATTGAAACGCAGCATCTACTAACAATAATTGTCAGTTGAAACCACACCCTGTGGCTGGTTTTGTTCACCTGCACCACATCCATCTACAATTTCAGTCCCAGGAAACATCCTCAGGTGTTGAATGTTGGGGGTCTAAGGTTGCTACCTAGAAATACTTGTCTGTCTGACTGTGACAAAAAAATATACTTGAATTAACAGCGTTAATAATTTATTTTAAAATACTCCTGACGTAGAAGCTTAGGGGTGCACGTTAAAAAAAACAATATAACCAGTTCTCAATGAGTAAAAACATGTCATTTTAACATTTCATTATAGTAAAATTATATATTTTTACAATATAAATTAGTTTAACAAAGCTTGGAACACCATGTACTGATCTGATTTAATCACCTAACAATGTCATCTGACTACAGAACGATCACCCTGTAAGCGTAAGGTGATAGTTAAACGAGGAGAAATAGTTAGTCACAAATACACTTCTACAGGTCCTTTATATGATTCCAGTCAAACATGCACATAGTGTTAGTTTACAGAACCTTACCTGTCAATACGAAAAGCTGATCAACACCATGTCACTGTGTCTTGACTTGTTTTGTTACTCTCGGATTGATCTGTGCACATCTAGTTAGAGAAAGTCAGAGGGGAGTAAAAGCAGGCGTGGCTGTCCTGGAGTTTATATTACAGGATACGACTGTCAGGGGAAACCCCTTGCCCTGTATGGCAGTTCAGTGCCTTTGATATATTTTCTCATCTTTCTCACGTTACGTTCTTTACTTTTGTGTGTGTGTGTGTGTGTGTGTGTGTGTGTGTGTTTAAAGAATTCTGTGTGAATTTGGTGATCTTTGAAAATTTCACACCCTCATTTTATTATCACAACAAAAGTGGCTGAACAGTATAGATTTATCAAGATGAAGACACTAGACCCTTACCTGTGGGATCAGTCGACGTCCCCCTTCAACTGTTAAAATGTCGTGTGCTTGTTTGTTCTGTGTAAACAGAGCAAAGACAGGAGAGCCAGTGGTGGCGTGTTTTACTGAGTTGTGCAGTGATGTCATTGCAGAGACACAAACCGCTCTTTTTACACCAGCACATTGTTGTCACACACAGATGCAAACACGTGGACAGTGTTGTAACAGTCGGCCGCTTACAATCCTGTACTAGTTATTCAGAATTCCTGTACTAGTCCTTCATTGTGCTGTAGAATAGTTTGTGGGAGCAAGAATAACCTGTTGGTATTATTCCATTTACATCCTGTCAGGATGTCGGACGGATGAAGATCGAGCTGTTTGCTGATGTGGTTCCAAAGACAGCGGAGAATTTCCGGTAAGGAGAAAGTCTGCAATCACATGGATGACATACTATGTTATTAAAAAAATCAGAAAAACAAGATATCACAGGTATAGATAACACAAATCAGACAATTTTTGAGTTGTCACTTACAGTTTCATTGTCTCTTACAGGCAGTTCTGCACTGGAGAGTTCAGGTAAGGAAATGAAGGGCTGTACTCTTTGATGGTGCACAAACACTCCTTAACCATCCTGCACAATAAACCGACCACACAATACATTGTTAACATACTCAAAATACACTTGAGAAATCTGATTAGTTCCAGCGTTTGGCAGCAACCAGATTTTTGAATCATGAAAATGAGAAACCTGTTTCCTTTTCATCAGGTTAGGAGATGAGGAGAAACCTGGATTAGCACAAAGGGTTTCTGCTGCAGAGACCTTTATTTGGGAATATATATGCTTAATCAGGTCTCTGAAGGTTATTTACATATGTGCATGACAAAGAGCTAGGCCAGGGAAAGTATCACTGTGGCAGGAGTACAGCAGGACATACAGGAAAGATCTTTATTTGCAGCTTCGCCTCCTTGTATCCAAAATAATAAATTAGGAAAAAATAAAGAGAGATCAAAATGAAGTCTAGATAAGTTAGGTTTTAGTTTAATGAGTTGTCTGCTTATTTGGAGAAAGCCAAGGGACGGTTTTACCCCACAATGTGTGGTGCCACTGAGGCTGATAAATGTGCTGTATGCTTGTCAAACAAGGAAAGAATATAAGAGCGTTGAATAGGAGCCGGTGCTGTTACACAACCAACACTTTTCCTTCATGCTGTTCCTGTATGAAAAAATTTGTTTCTCCATGCACGCCAATATTCAAATTAAAGGGACAGAACAGGTTCCTTTTAAAAACCAAATTTATGTTAGCCTGCTGCGTGGGATGTACTCATTCTTATTTTTTAGTGATGATGTGGCATTTTACAGATCAGAGCTCACAGCACAAGCAATAAAGCCTGTAGTACAACACAGTATGTTTGTCTTTACTGCTAACTTCAGTTTGTTGTGTCTCAAACTTCTGCCCTACAGGAAGGATGGAGTCCCTATTGGTTTCAAAGGCTGCACATTCCACAGGTACACAGTTTAGCTCGCATTATACTCTGATGGAAAGATTTTTTATATTTTTTTGAATGATTTAAGTAGAAATCCACACCCCCTGTTGGCTTTTAGAGTTGTTATTTAATCTGGCTGTCTCCTGGAACAGCCTCCCTTGAGTATCCACTGTCAGCCCTGGCATTTAAGCTGCTTCTGTCGCTGTTTTTCTTAGTATTTATTGAGGCAGAATTACTCAGAATGAAATAATAGCATTTGGATGAGCTATTTGATCTTTTACTTTTATTATTTTAAGGCCCTGAGCGCAGTGAGGACCCGACTGAAACTTGTATTATTATTATTATTATTATTATTATTATTATTATTTATAGAAGTAAATCACATTTTTGGCTGCCGTAACATGTTTGAAAGATAAAGACATGTCAGTGGTGGTAAAAATGTCTGTATAATATGGGTCTTGCACATGTTGAACCACCATGTTTCTACAGTAGCCCAGATCAGATAGGGTCGTTTGCATTTTTCTGCATGTCTCATGGCCACCGTAGTTTCTCCTTCGTGCTTCTAAAGCGAGGGAGTTACAATCTGCAACCACTAGATGCCACTAAATTCTACACACTGGGTTCATTTATCATTCTTCAACACAGGGTTGTACAAGGAAATGCAAGTTGCAGTCCCTGTATGCTACTCACAAACTTTTAAAAATGACATAAATGGATGAATAAATAATAAAAATAAACTGTTTATGTATGAGTGGAGTGTTATGGGAATTGACACCATCTCTATTCACCCCCATTGAACGTTTTCATGTTGTATTGTTTTACAAAATGTTATCAAAATAGATTTAATTTGGATTTTGGTAAAGTGAATACATTTTATAGGCAGTCTCAGCATGTCATATGAGTCAGACTACCTGGTTCAATCTGCTTTTTGTATAACAGGTTCTGTTACCTCAGCGAATCTCACAGCACTGATATGTATGCATTGTTCATTGACAGGGTGATCAAAGACTTTATGATACAAGGAGGGGACTTTGTAAATGTAAGTACATACACACCTCTTCTGCTGCCTGGTTAGTGCTTTTGTTACAGCTTTAGGGTGACAGCAAAGAGTCATTCAAAGTCTAATGCTTTGCATCTGCAATGAATGTTGTTATTCTGATGACTCAAATAAATACAGTACATTGAGTACAATCAAAAGAACCTGTTTCTTAGCTGAAGAACAAATACATTTTTGCTTGGGGTGAGTGCTTGGGGTGTAACCATGTTTGATAGATCTGAATGTGAAAGTAGGTAAAGGAAGATTCTTTTTCTTTTTTTTTTCCAAGGTGTTTGGTATCAGTGGATGAAATGTATAGTATGTTGCTGTAGGAACGGAGGCATCGTCTCACTACACAAAATATTATTTCTTGTCTTAATTAAATATATCTTGCAGTGATGTTGGACAGACTGCAGTTGAATTTTGTATAAGCAATCTTTTGCCCCCTCGTGGACGTAGTAAATTACAGCACATCTGAACTGATGTATATTCTCTTTCTACGTTGTGAGCCCTATATCAAATACCAATTTTTTTGTCTTTTTGTGAAGGGTGATGGGACTGGTATCTGCAGTATCTACAGAGGTCCATTTGCAGATGAAAACTTCAGAATGAAGCATTCTGCGCCTGGTCTTCTGTCCATGGTATGTTATACAGATCAATGCTCAGATGTTAGGGGGACTGAATCAGGAAAGGGTCTATTTACTTTGACTTCAGCCAAATCAAGATGTTTGGTATCCTGTAGTCATTTTGTATATCCTGTATTTTCCTGTTTAAAATAATAAGTTCATTAAGATTTGATTAATCCATTCAAAGTGAGTTGACCCCAACCTCCAAAGACAATAGGATTTGATTGATTGATTCAAAGTGAATTAACTCTAACCAATGTAGACAAACAGATGTTTTAAAACTGCCTTTCTCTCTCAATAATGTGTTTTACTCAGGCAAACAGTGGTCCAGGGACAAATGGTTGTCAGTTTTTCATTACCTGCACTAAATGTGACTGGTTAGATGGGAAGCATGTTGTATTTGGTAAGTCTGCAATATTAATTGTGTATTCGTATTGATTTAGAGCTCTATTCTAATTTGTTTAGTTTAATTGTATTTTTTTTTACTACTGTTTCAGGAAAAGTCGTCGATGGTTTGCTGATCATGAGAAAAATTGAGGTAAAAACAATACTGTAATATTGATTTATATTATTATTGATCTGTAAATGGAACAACATACTGAAGCAAAACAGTGAGAGGAGAGAGACCACTCATACTGGTGAAAATAAGAAAATGTATTCAAGCTTAAATAGTATAACCACTCACCACTAAGTGATAAACAATTGTGCAACATGTTTAAAGAGAAAACATCGACTCTATTTGGACTCTGACTTGTTACGTCCCCGGATTGTTTGATTTACCTCTCAAATCAATTTTGAAGAGAACAAGGTAGTAT